AGGAACATATAGGGACTTCTTAAAAAATATATATTCTTCTTGAGTTTGTTCAAATCATGGCCGGGTTAGGGTGGGACCGCAAAGGGGATCAAACTTTTACGTGGGAATACATACGCTGACTAATAATACGATATACAAATTCCAATGAGGCCGAGTTTTTTGTTCGAATAAAATTAATTTTCCTAAGAGCGAGATGTCCTAGGGACATGTAGCATTCTGGTACATACGCAAGATGATTTTCCCCGGAATCCGGATTTACCTTGCTTATAACTTCAAAGTCCACGCAATAAAAGCATATCAGATAGTGCAGATCCAATTTTTTTCAATTTGTTTCCACGAAGATAGGGTGGAGCCACAATAGGTGATCAAAGTTTCACATGGCATAACTAAGAAAATAAAGGAATATTTTAGACCACGATTTACAATGTTATTCATGTCTATATACAAGCATTCTAAAGTTTGCAGTTACATATATATTGTTGAATGCTCTTGGGGATAACTATAGGTTGTGAACAAAAAAAGAGAGATTCAAAGTTTTGGATTGGAATATACAGAGAAATGAAAAAAAAGAAGAAGATTTTTTGAAGATAAACAAGACCACTTTAAATCATAATTAATACAAACATTCCCCAGTCCTGTAAATTCAAGGTAATTCAAATTAAGGACACTCTGTTTATAACGGGCTTAAATCGGAGATGTTTCAATTACTATACGTACATGTATATGGGAATAATCCTTTTTAAAACTTTCTCCAAAACAGTAAAGATGTTGTCATGTTGTTATTCAGGGTGGGTTCCGATGAAGTGTGGATTCAAGTCTGGTTAACCCATGAGTCCATGACCCACTGGAGCTAGGGCGGAGTCATTTTTTTATGGGAATATAGAGAAATATTTTTTTTAAAAATCTGATGAAGAACAGCACTCCTAATGATAAATATGCACTGTCTGTTTTTTTTCAGTGCTTTATATATTCAGAGTTTTATAATATATAATGCACGTTTTACTATACAGGAACACGAATGTAAGATACAAAATTAAGCAGCTAAATTACCATTACAACTGTTATATTCTCCCAACTCAGTAAAGAGTTGACGCCCTTGTAGCAGTGGTAAGAGCGTTTGCTTTGGATTTGCGAAGTAAAGAGTTGATCCTTACGTCATGGCTTCGAATCTCACTGCAAGACTTGGAGACCGGTCCTTCGGATGAGGCTGTATGAACCGAGGTTCCGTGTTGCAGTGGATGCTGGAACGAAAAAGATCCCTCACTGCTCAAAGGCCATAAGTACCAAGTAGAGGTCAAAATTTTCAGCCCTCCATCGGCAAGTGGTGGCCTCTCAATATGAGTGAAATATTCTTACAGGGACGTTAAACAAACACTTAATACGTTTAAAGGGTTATTTATGACTGTAAATTTGCTTCTGTTTGAGTGTTTTTCTGTATATTTCCATTAACTGTTTTCACTGTATCCTGATTGTTCAGTACTTATTGGTGAACATATTTCTTTACAACATAACCTGACACCCTTAATGATATCCATCAATAATTTAACAGTACTTTGACGTATGCAGAGACAAGAAATGCCTTTATTCAATTCCAGAAACCGAAAAAATACCAAAGGTGACAGAAATATACACTGTAATCAATATTTCCCTCAGTAATTGATGTAATTCTGAAGTTCGGTAATTTTTAAATGTTTTTCTATATTCACTTGAACTTAGATGTTTGAATGCTGTAGCAACAATCTTGTTAAAATATACTTTTTTTTGGAAGGTTTTCTTCAGTTTTTATTTTTGATACTCATATTACGCCAAACACAAATGATAACAAACATATCATTATTTTTTGTTGAGGTTTTCTACGATTAAAGTGTCAATTTTTCCAATCTGAGATTGAAAATGATAACACGCAAAACTTCAAGAAAGAATTCATCGACAAATCGCCAAATTTTTCATCAGTAACATCAAAACGTACGACGTTTCTACACTTTATACAACATTCCTCATGATAAATTAAAAACTAGACTTTTTGATATCATAGAAAACTGCTTCTTCAATAAAAATGGAAGTCGGAAATTTTCTTATCTTGTGATTAGTCATCAACAAAATTACTTTGTTAAAAAATCACTCTGATTCTACACACAAGTACTCTGAAGTTAATATTTAAAGGATGCTAGAGTTCCTCATTGTCAACCTATTCCTATGAAGCAGAATTGCTTGAGAAACATCTACATGAGAAGAAGTGGCTGTGGCCTTCAACTCGACATTTAGATATACCGACAATTTATTATCTATTAACAATGCACTATAGTTACTTTCATTCATTCGATATATCCTAGTGCACGTGAAATAAAAGACACAACTGCCACGTCTGTTTAATATTTAATATAATATATGTTTTACTGACTATAGACGATAAGGGCCAACTAACAACTATATTTAGGACAAACCATGGTCACTTTTCCATCGTCAGTTTTCGTTATTTATGTGCATGTAGTAATATCCCGCTATCGCATGCATGTGGTGTTTATCCCAATTAACTCGATATTCAAGAGCATGCTCCGAGTTCGATCAATTTTTGAACCAAGGCAGCCTACTGACATATAAGTTTATGTTACAGGGATTTCAAAAACCTCGTTTAAAATCAGCATTTCATTAATTTTATGGACGTTATAATGATCTTGCTAGCATATTTAACCTACCATTGGGTCTTTTCTTTTTGGGTGGGGCTGACTTTTTTCATATCAATTTTTAAGTCATTATTTTAATACTGAAATGAACAAAGGGTTTCGTCTACCTCATCAAAACATAGGACTGACAGCGGGTGTGATCGGTCAACAGGGGATGCTTACTTCTCTAAGGCACCTGATCCCACCTCTGTAATTTTCAGGGGAGCGTGTTTTATACCCTCTTTACAGAATTGTTTTGTAAATAGATTTTTTGAGATTGATCACTGTTCGTTATCTTCACCTTTTTCGTTCATTTTAAACAGATTGAAAATGAAAAATCACGTGTTTAAAGTTATTTAAGGTATAAATAAGAAATACACCTCTGGAGCTAAGAAGAAGAGTCGTTTTGCATGGTTGATTTTATCTAATGCCCTAGAAGACTCTTTTGGGAAAGAAAATCACATTTAATTGAATGTATTATTTCATCATTGATAATTTGAATAAACATTGATATTAATAAACAAGAGAATATCTTTCAAATATACAGAATTAACATTTAGTAGTGAATATGTAACTAACGTGTGTTATGTGACTCTTCAGCGAGAGCTCCAAATTAATCTTTAAGATCTAAGATACTAGTACTTCAAAAAATTGTGATAGAAATTTTGGAACAGTTTGTACAGGCTTTATTATTGCTTAATCACTTACATATGTTGTAGAGTAGGATTTCCTACATAGCCAGCTTTCACTCCGAAATCTGTACTCCCCGAGGAGAAATCTCACACTACAGCCAAATTTCCTTCTTTCTCTCTCAGAATAGGATTTTCCCTCCTTTATCAGTGGTAAATCATATCGACAATTTTTTGCCCAAAAGTTTAAATTAATGTCAACTGATTTTTAATGGAAATATGAGTGTTTTCAACTCTAGAATTAAAATATTTATTTCAAATCATTCAGTCTTAAATTTTAACCTATAGGAAATTATAAATTAATTCACTCAAAAATCGCAGAAATCGATTTCTCAAGACGTCTCTTGGCGCAGCGGTACCTGTTTTTCACGAATTTTAAAAATGTGTATCAGGCCTAATTTAGTGATTTGATAATGTGTTTGCCCTCTACAGACCCAGTTAAATGCTTTTTACAAAGAGTGATAAAATTCTAAAATTCATATTATTGACCGGTATATGGTGATATTTTGGCAGAAACCGCCTTGACCAGATGAAAAGAATACTGATTTTAATGCTTCAAAAGAATGTCTGGGTAGTAACTTACATGTAGAAAAATGAGACTTAATTTTATCAATTTCATACTTTCGTATGTTTCAATGGAAATTTTAAATGTTGAATACACAACTAGACTTTTTGATTACATTTTTTGAAAAGTCTCATTAAGATTGTCTTCTGCGAGAGCACCAGTTGGAAAATTTTAGAAAAGACACTTATAAAAATGTGTCGCTCCGTCTCCCGTTATACATAAGTACAGGTAAGTACAGTAAATGTTATTGGGGGGGGGGGGGATTGGCTCTGGAGGAAATCGCACTCTATTACGTAAAGTAGGATTTCCCCACGGAAAATTAAATCTAGTTTGTGATTTCTGTAAGGAGAATCCTACTCTAGAGTCATTTTTTTTTTCGTGGGGGGAAGTCTAGAGCATAAATCCTACTCTAGAATTTTATTTCGGGGGAGGGGGAGAGGAAAGTCTACTCTACAAGATCGGTATTTACCACAAAGCTTTTCTTTAAGCCATCCAATTCTTCTATATTATAGTAGAAAATACTCGAAGCCTCAGGTGAAGTTGGATTTTTCAGTGAATACACCATATTTCTTTTTATATGATCACATTACAATGTAGATCAATCATAAACGCATTAATTACATTTACATGTATACATGTATTCAGAAATTCAGAAGGATATTTTGGAGAGATTTCAATTTCTTTTCAGGTTTTTGCACTGAATTTCAATAAATGTGAGAGAATACAAAGTAGATATCTTGGAGAATGGATAAAATAAATTTGAGTACCCTATGTCTTTTAGTGCATTTTGAAATTTAATTTGTTACGAACATTAAATTTTAGGCTCATAACAGTAATATTGTCTGCCTGAACATAAATGAATCCTTTGTAAATATCTTTGAACTTCATAAAACGCATGGTTAACGTAGTACCAAATTCAATTAACTAGATGAGAAGAAATAACCCTGCTTTGGCTTTAAGAGTGTGGGTTGTTTTGTGGTGTATATAACGCACGATTCTGAAGGTTTTCACTATTACTCTCTGAACACCGCGGTCGATAGAGGACAGCAAGAGTCAACGCGCACTTGTCTGTAAAAGTTACACATCTTCTAGAGTTTAAATTTCATTGTTGTGCCTTTCATTGAGAAATTACAGCTTAAGTCAGGAACATTTTTTTTTTAATTTTAGAGAGAGGAGCCTGAATAGACAGTTAATTTAAAAAATGGCTACAAATTCGTGTTTGACCATACACGAAAATATTTCTTTTTTAATCGACAAAGAGAATTCCACAGACGTGTCTTTGCTTCCGCCCAGGGATTACCCGGTCCAGTACCAGGTTATTTCCGTGATTATCGGTATTGTGATATTTCTGGTTGGGATGATTGGTAACATCCTCGTCATTGTGGTGGTATGTAGGACTAAGTGCATGCATACCCCCACCAATTGTTACCTCCTCAGTCTGTCTGTCGCTGACTGCCTCGTCCTCCTCTCTGCTACCCTCCCCTCCATTCCAGAACCATTTTTTCACACTGCAGAATGGCCCTGGGGTCGTGTTTGTTGTTCTCTTTTAGTGTTTCTACAGTATCTTGGAGTTCAAGCATCTTCATTATCGATAACAATGTTTACCATCGAGCGATATATCGCGATATGCCACCCTATGAAAGCCCAACGCATGTGTACGGTGCAAAGGGCCAAACGGATTATCATCGCCATTTGGATTTTCACGATTCTGTACTGTGCCCCTTGGTTGGGACTTACTGCAGTGGTGACTGACCCAAGGACACGGATCCGAATGTGTGTCCACCGACTAGAAAGGGAGAAATATCTGGCTTACTACCTCACCGATCTCATCGCCTTTTACATCGTCCCTCTCCTTGTGTCCGGTATTTTATATGCTCTGATCGCTAGGATTTTATTTATTAACACTCTTCCTCGTTCTAAATCTGAGGAACATCGATGTCCAAAGACGGATAAATGCCGAGTTAAGACCTCTACAACCACCTCTAGAAAACAGGTAAGATTCAATTTTCATCAATATTTTCATGTTTTCCTGTATTTAAAGTAAGAATTGTCAATGTTATGGTTAAAAATCTGCCTGCTTAAGTAGACAGAATGTCTCGAATTAAAAAAGGAACTTTCAGAGGAAGTCACGTACAGAGACAAAATACGTTAAAATCATTGTTTCATTAATTGGAGAGAGAGAGAGAGAGAGACAGATAGATATGCTTGACACACAATTGTATCCTGTTTTCCTAGCTAAAGTTACTGTGATATAATTATTAAAATTTTACACTTCATGTGTCATGGGAGAGAAAATATAAGAAAACCGCAGTTTGGGGATGAGAACTCTTGATGCATGTGTTGAAGATATGTAGAATTTTATAACATAACACGATAAAATTTCAGCTCAAATTGCAGAGATGTAGTTAAAATATGTGCAATTTTTGGACATTATCAGTGTAAAATGAAATAGGAAGATAACGAACAGTATTCAATCTCGAAAGTCCAATGAAACGATACAAATGCAAAGGATAAAAATTCATTTTTAAAAAATGAAAATTTTGCTGTATAAAAAAGAATATATTTCTCTGTTATTTTATTTGGAATTTCTCAAATTAAAAAAAGGAACTTTCAAAGGAAGTCAATTAAAGAGACAATTGTTTCATTGGATGGAGAGAGAAAGAGAGAGATTTGTATTATCTTTTCGTAGATGGCATAAAATGTACGAGAGTTCGTTTTCCTAATGAAGAAAATACGTTCTGCTGGGGAAAAACCTGGAACATGAATATAAAGCATGAGACCAAGGTGCCTTCATTTGCAGGATTCGCCGCTCGATCATTAATTAATCTATTTAAAGAATTATTGGATGAAATAGTTCTATTGATAAATGACTGAGTGATAATTACAAAAACAAATAAAGAAGAATAAAATTGTTTGGATATAAACGAAAAATAAAATTTCTTTCTATTCCACATTCATGTTTAATTCCATCCTTAAATTAATGCTAAAATCAAATTCTTAATTGAAAAAAAAATTAATATCTGGAGAGGATAAATAAAGGAAACATTCTTCATCTAAAATGGTTTGAAAGAACGGTTTTAAAAAAAACTTTTTCATTTAGAACATAACTATACTCAGTCAATCTGCTGATAAATTATTCCGATTTGGTATAAAAATCACTACTGTATGTCTTATCTGCGCGTCGGCAACGCATTAAAACTTAAATGAGACCTTATTTAGTATAGGTAAATTTCTTCTAGGGGCAAAATAAGACTTACCCTGCTAGGTTGTCTTGCTGCAATAATTCGAGTTTCTTATATTTGTTATTTAAGCATTAAATCATTATTTTTTGAAAGATATAGTCTCATAACTGCAAAGGTGTGTGCAAACAAATTGAATAACGCGCGTTAGCGCGTTATGAAAATTTGTTTGCACACACCGTTGCAGTTATGAGACTATATCTTTCAAAAAAAATAATGATTTAATGCTTATATTTACATTTTTTAACTCCTTCCTTGACTGCAAATGTGATTTATATTTCAAAATCCCTGTATTATCCTTCGGGTAAGTTATAATTAATGGAAGAGCCGTTGCAACAGCTTCCGTTCAATGTGAGCGTGAATTTTGATTTTCGTTTATGACGTTGTACTTCCACGGCGTTCAACGTTTGTGACGTCAAAATAAAACGCATACTTTAACCTTTTGACCCCCTGTCCGTGTTATGGTGTTTTGAATGCCGTAGCTTTCCTCACGCTTTATAAACAAAATACATGTTGGATGTAAATATAAAGTCTTGGTGGCTTTGCGCACTGAAAATCTCATCATAATTATTTTCATCGGTTGATTCAAAATCTCCCTCATGAAAGTGTACTCTCTACATGTTTAATACAGTATAAACAAGTATAAAACTTACCATATTAATATAGAGTGTTTGATGTGAATTCTTTTTTATGTTATTCTAGTTTTGGTTTTCTTCCAGATAAGTGGATTTGATACTTTTTAAGCGTTTTTGAAATACAGTTATGGGAAAATTATTAATTTTGGAGAAAAAAGTCCATAAATCACTTGTATCTGTAATGAAAAAGAAAAATTCTTTGAAATCAAATTCAAAATTATGGAATACACAATAATATTGACATACTATTTGTTAATACTATGTATTAAGGGAAATGGAATAAATTGAATTAGTACCGTTATTTTCTTAAAACGCGGTCGATATGAATGATAAAGCTTCCAATATGCTCAGGAACACGACATTAAGCTTCATATTCTACTTATCTCTACTTATCTCTCTGTTGTTTGCTGTTTCCAAACCACAATAATCAATGAAATTAATGGAAAGTTTATACCTTTTATACCTAAAACAGTTTACCGTAAAATTAAAAAAAAAACAACTTTCGTTTAGAAAAGACTTCTGTGTGCAAGACTTGAATCAATCGTTTTTTTTTCCTTTTTTGTAAATCAGTCAAAATCAGTATTTTTTCCTTTACCAATTTCCCTTCATTTGGCAGTGGGAGATATCAGTTGGCCTGTAGTACAGGAAGAATGTTCTAATTATGTGCCCAACAATCATAGGCAGGTCCAAAGGAGCAGAATAATAGCCAGTTAGGACAACACTAGGGGGGCTTTAAGCTTGATTTATAAAGAATTTTTTTTTCTTGCCAGTGATCTGATGCAAAAACATATAGGCTTTTGCATTTTTTTAAAGATTATTTTGTTTTACACAATAATCACACAGATTTAGATAAATCAGTATTTTTTATTTATATGTTTATTTTTTACATATCTTGTTTTTGAACGATTCATATGATTTCATTCCAACTTATGCATGAATTAATAAAAGAGTCCATTGTTTATTCTCAAAAGGTTAGAATGTTGATTTTGTTTCTTTTGTCGATATGAGATAAGAATGATTATTATAGAAGAATTTGATAGAATGCTTCAATGGGATTGTTTAGTAATTTTGAGAGTTTGATTTTTTTTTTTACTTCTATGAAATTTTATAAGCCAAATGATTTTATTTATTTATATTTTTTTTCCAAATATGGTATTCAGGTTTAAAATAACATCTTACTTCTGAGGATGCATGCCAAACAAAACAGGCTTCGTGTTCAGAAGATGGTAACATCATAGCCGAAAATGATTGAAAACAAAACCAGTTAACAGCTGATCAGTAAAATAATGTCTTTTCATTAGATAGTTTTTCAAAGGAGTAATTTCCAGCGATATATTCATAAGTTATAAAATGTCTATGATTTTGTTGCAAAGGTGAATATTTTAAGGGAGAGAGAAATTCGTGCTGTACCCATCGGGTACAGTTTTAACCAAATGGCTTAAGACCTATATTTTTTAATTTTTTTTTTTTTTTTTTTTTTTTTTTTTTTTTTTTTTTTTTTTTTTTTGCGAAATTATACACACATACTTGAAATGTGGGAATATTAAAATTCTTTTTCTTTCATCATTTATAACCTACTCTTGTTTTTCCTGTGTCTCACTATCTTCGCATTCAGTGCCAAAACACAGCACAATGTGACAAGGCGATTTCTTAATGTGCATACTTCATAAATAATGGTAATGGTAATTAATAATGGTATTAAGGTAATGATACTTAGTATAAAATACATTACTGTTATTTATGTCTTTTATGAAGGAAGAAGGCCAAATAGATTTATTTTTCAGGTAAACAGTCAAATCGTTTTATTAGGTACTTATAACTCGTTTTTAAAGTCTGAATGTTTTATAATAAAAGGCAAATGATCTTTAAAGTATATCATAACTGTAAGACGTCCATATCAGACAGTTTTATGCATTCCTATATAATAATTGAGGATAATGTGGCGATATAATGCCCTCTCGAACAAGAATTCAGCATTGCCTGGTCATTTTATGACATTTTTGACATTACAAATTCCCATACCGTCTATAAACTCTTATTTTATTCCTCACAAATTCTGCCTGTGATGAGATGTCAATTTTTAAGCTTCCAATCCTTTAGTCTAACGATCACTGGTATGTTTTACATCAAAAACGCCATGATGGAATCAGTGTGTCAACATTTGTTATATCAATCACCTCTTCCATGAGTGAAAGAATCGGTTAGGGTTACTTTTTCCAGAGTTTTATTTCATAATACCTCAGACAAATGTCGCTCTATTTCCTATCATTGCCTTTAAGGAAGATAGACCTTCGATTCTCTGGAGGAAAAGACATCACAGTTTTTGATGTAGAAAAATCAAGTACCCTCACTCTTTCTATATCGATTTTCTTTTATCATAATCTTATTTGTTCAACTTTGGCTTGATCTCCTAGCACAGAGGCGTTAATCTATTTGACATCTTTTAGCGACGTAAAGGGCAAACTTTTAGTTTCTGCTAAAAAAAGTATTATATACATTAAATAATTGATATTTCCGAAAAAGAAATTCCAAACGTGTGCATTTTGCTCTTTTTTTCAGTAATAAGAAAAGATTTTTTTTTTGGTTTTGTTACTTGATTAATCAAGACTAAACCAATGCTCATTATGCTAAAAGGATTGGAAGCTTACTCAAAAGTGACACCTCATCTCGAAAACTCCTCTGTGTGGAATAAAATAAAAGGTTTATGGAAGGCATGGGACTTTGTCATGCCCAAAAATGTCATTAAAAACCTAGGCGATGCTGAAAACAGCCCAAAACAGGCATATTGTGCTAAAGTGTATCTTCAATTATCATGTACATGTAGGAATGCAGAAAACTGCATGATATGGTCATTGTTTGCCGCTCAAAAGAAAGCATCCAGAATTCAGAAACAATTTATATGTAGAATGGTAAGATGGGCAAGGAACAGCAAATTGATTTTATTGCTTACTGAAGAATGCTTATCTGAAAATGAGAAATAAATAGCAGCAGTGTAATTTTTCCTGTCTTATAATCATTACTTAGAGTATCGAAGATAAGAAATCGTTTTGTCATATCGGTATTGCTGTCTTGAATGTCAAGATAAGAAATTGTTTTGTCATATCGGTATTACAGTCTTG